AGCCAATGATTTATAGAAGCCTGAGGAGGGCATATGGACAGGTGTGTGGGTGTCCACACGTGCACATGTGTGGAAAGGTGATAGTAGCCTGGGGGACTGGAATTTATGGTCATTCCAGAAGTGCGTCAATGAATAAAACATTCATAATAACATTTAGGGCTAGACCAATAGAAATGGATTTATGAAGCCATTTAAGGAAAACACAAATAGACAGCAATTTATGAGGATGTGGGGAAATACATCATTAGAGTCAGGATGCACCATATAAACTCATCAACCCCTCAAGGATTTACAGCCACATACTGGAAACTACTACTAAAAGCAAGACTGAAGGTTGTATAAGCCCATCTCATCATACATCTGCTTTTCAGAGAAATCTCTGCCAGTGCAGCAGTGCTAGTGGAAACTTTGCAGCATTCACACCAAACTGACTGTCCCAGGTGTGGGAGCTATGCTTGGCCAGGCTAAGCCTTGCACTGTGGAAAACGAAGAGAAAAACAAAATATTCCCATCACCACAAAGGCAGGAGTCAGGACAGATTAAGATGAGTGGAGTCCATTGGCTCCTCTGGGTTCACTGAGGCTCCAGACAAACTGGAATTAATCCCACTGTGGGAAACTAGATGTAAGCACAGCATCTGCACTTTTCTTGTGGCTTTTTCATCACAACCCCAAACCAATGCAACAAGTATCATCGAAGTGGTAATGCTCACCTTTCCTCTTGTAAAAGCCAGGAAGTAGGCAGAAATGAAGGAAATATGTGGTGACAGAGCAGCTCTTAAACCATAGGCACTGCTCCAGGGCTGAGGTCCAGCACAAGAACTGGAATTACATCTAATTACTCTTTATAAGTGGATATTTTTCCATGTGGATTTTTTGGCACATTCATTGTGTTCCATACTTTGGCAGGCAACTATGGTCCTAATTTAATGAAGGATTATGTGCAAAACTAAATTATACTAATTCACATGTTAGCATTTCAGTCAATTTCATCAGGGATGACTCTACAGAAAACAGTCTGTTAAAGCAAGAACGACTTCAGTCATAAAGAACTATCACAGAAGAATGTCTGTAAAAGTGACTTTCAAGATATTGGGGTGAATTATTTCTATATTTACATATAAATTATATATATACATACACACAAAAATATATATCTATTTACATGCATATATACATTTTTTATACAATTTGACTCATGAATTTTCTGAAAATGGAATTTAAACGGACTGGATTAAAAAGGATTGTAATTAAAGGTTGTATTCTGAGTGTTTCAGATCTGGTTTCACATGAGAGAAGAAGTATTTGTCCCAGGTACCCTTGATTCATTATCAATTAGAAGGATTAAGCAGTCTCTACTTGCTTTACTTGCTTCATTAATCATCTTTTTAATGATGCAAAAGAAGAAAAAAGAGGAGTGAAAAAGAAAAGAGAAAGGAAAGTAAATTTTAGGGAATAGCGGATATAGAAAGTTCTGTGCACACTACAGGATCAATCCATTACAATTGTCACATTTTTCAGGATCAAAATTAGTCTTTAATGGATAAAAATTCTGTGATGGATTAATGTCAACTTTGGGAACTTTCTCAGAGCTGGGAACTAATAACTTCTGAAAAACTTCATAGGCACTGTTGTATAAACAACCCCCACTGCAGGCATAGCCCTGCAAAAGTTTTCCCAGCTCGAACTGAATTCCTTGTGAGCCAAGACCAGCCATCCCTACAGAGTAACTTTGTACCTTATGAGAATAGAACCTTGAACCACTTGAAATAATCTGCAGTTCAGGACATCCTGGTCCACACTGTTTGGGGAAACATCCACACTCTTGGAGATGCTCAAAACCTGCTTGTGGGGAAAGACCCAGAGATGCTGGAGAAGCTGGACCTGCTTTGATCAAGGGCTAGAGATGAGACCTCCAGAGGCCCCTCCAACCTAGGATATTCTATTCAACAGTTCTGCTTCACCACTTGAAATCTACTGCTCAGGCACACAGAGTGCTCCTTGGAAAGGTCATCTTACAACAGCCTGCCAATATTTTGTGTGTCCATCACTTTAATCTCCCAAACTCAGCACATTCTTAGGAGGTATACTCCTTTCAGTGCAAAAAGTTTCTCTAAGCTCAAGCTGCCTCTGTTGCAGGGCTGTTGTCTGAGCCACTCCCTAGGGATAGCTTCTGCCTGACAGTACCAAAGGACAGGAATCACCTTCCCTGCCTTCGGTCTTCTTAAAGTCAGAGTCTGGTCTATGAGAGACAGTCAATAGAGGAACAAAAAAAAATCCAGAAGAGAGTTCATTCCACTTTAAGACAACAGGGTTAAACTCTGCTTGGAGGTGCCTGCCTCTCTCCCTTGCTCACAGGCAGCCTTGGCAAGAGCTTTTGGACTGGGTTCTGCTGTTCAGGCAGTATGAGAGGTGAGCTCTTCAGGAAGTCAAACTGGAAAAAACTGGATGAAAATGGTCACATCTCCCTGTGACAAAAGGTTTGAGAGTACAGCACTGAGACATTCAGCAGTCTTTTCTAAGTAAGAGAAATTTCCTTTCTCTTCTCAGCATTAAACATTGGAACTGATACTAAAAGGAGAAGTAGCAAGAGTCAAACATATAATTTCTGAATTTTCCTTCTCTGCAATGGACTGTTTTTGTTTTGCTTCCCATTGCTAGCCTCTGAGAACAAATATACTGCATTTTCACCACACGTTCACAAAGAGAAACATTTGCAGAGTGCTGAGTGTTGACCAGTGGGAACTGGAACACCTCCCAGCTGAATCTCTGTGAGATAAAGTCCGTGCAACAAGAGGGCAGTGGTGCTCACAGAAGTAAAGAAAAACCAGGGGAGGGCAACAGCATTAAAAACTATCTTGTATCTGCAGCCAATTGTCAGCCACCACACATGGACACCCATCCCATTTCACTGGAAGGACATCAACAGTGAAGATGAGGGAGGGGAATTCCAACACACACCCAGGGCTAGCTCCAAACGAATCATTCAGAGTTGTGTTTATTGCAGAGACTCCCCTGACTCAGGCTATATTAACCCCATTCATACCATGGCTGAAGATGAGAGTATTTTTATCCAAGGTACAAAACACAGATGGATGTGTTAGGAAAGAGCAATAGAAAAATAAGTGAAATGTGTTCTCTTAAGTGGATTATGCAATGTCAAAAGAAGTGTTAATTTTCTTCTTCCAATATAGAATATCTGATTAAAACAAATGCAAACTGCACGGAGTGCAATAAAAAACAAATGTTCCATTTTCCACATCTTCTTGATACAGCTGTTTGTTTTAAACATATAAAGATTAAGGGAACAATCTTGAATTTAATTAAATCCCAAAAGAACTAATGATATTTATGCATATTAAATTTTTAAAGGCACTTGTGGCTGTTCAGCCAATCATTCACTGGACTGTCATAACATGCCTCCCAACCCTAATTTAAATTAGAAAGAAGAGACCCATGAAAAAAAAATGTGCAGACAGTAACATTTTCACTGCACATATGTTTAAGAGATAAACGCCCCTCTAGCTTTAGAAGGCAACAAATCTAATAAATGGCCACATCATCATAATTCAACGATGGAAAAGACTCAGTGTTACAAATTTCAGATCTGCATCTCACAGGAAAGTAAATTAAAACATCAATTATAACCTTCTTTAAAGACTTTATAAGGGAAATATTGATGTCTTAACACAGAAACTCCCAAATCAATCTAGATGAAGCTGGGTGTTTCCCAGAGTTGTGTTATAGGGAGGGACCAGAATTTGGTGGTGCCATCTTTGGAGCATGGCAGGAAACCCTTTTGCTTCTCTCCTTCTCTAGTAAGTTTATGCCCTTCTGTAGTCCTGTACCTTCAGTGAATCAACAGCTACCTTAGGACCTGGGTCTCTGATGAAGACTTCTCAGTGAGAGGAAAAAAGCTCTCCTTCTCTTTCAGCAATAAATCAAGAAAGTCTCTGACATTGTCCTGAGTAAGTCTCTCAGCACTGGTGAAGCCACACCTCAAATCCCGTGTCCCGTTCTGGACCACTCACTACAGCAAAGACATTGAGAGTGTCCAGAGAAGAGCAACAGAGCTGGGGAAGTTCACAAGTTCTGTGAGGAATGGCTGAGGGAGCTGGGGGTGTTTAGCCTGGAGAAAAGGATGCTCAGGGGAGACCTCATCACTCTCTACAACTGCCTGAAAGATGGCTGTAGTAAGGAGTGGGTTGGTCTCTTCTCCCAGGTGACAAGCAATAGAACAGGAGGAAATAGTCTCAAATTGTGCCAGGGGACATTTAGATTAAATATTGGGAAAAATCTCTTCACTGAAAGGATAGCCATGCACTGGAACAGGCTGCCAGGGAAGTGGTGGAATCACCACCCCTACTTGGGTACAAAGTTTGGGAGTAAACATGGCAGTGCTAGGCTGACATGCAGACTCAATGACCTTAGAGGTCTTTTACAACCTTAGTGATTCTATGATTCTATGATTCTGTTTCTGGTCCAAAATGACAGTTGCTGAACTTTATCTCTTGTTACTAAGTTGTTTGTAAATGCAGGCTGAAAGGTTGCAAGATTCTTCCATCTGGTGTAACTTCCCCTCTTTATGCAATCAATATTTTGCTATCTCAGTTCATACAGTCACCTCTCCTACCTCAAAAAACAGACTCCTCCTTCCTACATCTCCTAAACACTAACAAATAGGTTTCCTGTTCCACCTACCTTTCAGCATTGCCATACAGCATTAACCAGATATAACTCTGAAAGCTCAAAAAAGTACAGCTTCTTATGAAACAGAAACCCCCAGATTTGCTCCTTCTTTTCTCACATAAAATTCTGCTGATTTTCTCAAGAAAGGATTCAAATCCTATTTAGAAAAACACTTCATTGCCTATGGCTAAGCCTGTTTTTGTGGTTTATCAATCATAACAGGAAAAAAAACAACTATTAAGTTCTGCTGTTTTCCTGTTTATGAGAGACCATTGCTTTGCTGATAATACACAGCCTTTGCCAGGCACTTACCCATCAAAAGCTCCAGCCAAAACTGGTCTGTTTCTGGCTTGTAGGGTCGGTTGAAGTCAATCTGGATTTGGAAAGCCTGTCCCCGACGTACTATCAGCCTGGGGTTGTAGTACTTGTCAGTGTGGTGTTCCTGCTTGTTGATCTCTTGAGGCTCCTTGAACATATAAATATCCACAACACGCAGGTAATCTGCAGAGACACGTAAACAAACGGAGGGGGAAGGTGTCAGTGTGCTGAAATGTCAGTATTGGTGCCAACACCATTAGAGGCCCTGTCCTCTCATTCTCCAGGGAAGGAATACCATGCAACAGGAACGTGCTGGATCTGTCTGGGGCTTACATGCTCCTGGCTGAGAAGAGACTTACAGACAGACACTTCTCTGTCCACCGGCCATTTTCATTTCACAGAGGCTAAAAGGCTTCAAGTGCATGGTGAGAGCAACCACAGAAAGAGCAGTTTGCTAGGTGTTGGAAGCTGAATGACCCCAAGGAAAGTCTGGACCCATCTTTCCATTGGCATTGGCTTTCCACAAGTCTGGGCGTTGCTGTCACAAGTTTACCAGAGCAATCAGTGAGACTTTGATGGCTGGGGTGTGTCTCCCTTCCTGCAGCCCCCTATTTGTAAAATGCAAATTCACAGGGGCTTTGTGACAATGTTGTTTGCAAAATGCTACCAGTTCTGAGAGCTGAAGAGCCTGAGAGGCAGTTAATGATCTTGCATTCAGCTGAGAGCCTGGATTGCCTGTATTAGATAAGGTTTGGGTGTACTGTATGTCTTGTCTCAGCTTCTCAGTACACCTCCACTGCTATTAGTGTCTCCTTATGAAAACTAAATATAACATTACAGCATATAATTACAGCATAGAGTTACAGGCAAGCAGCAGTAGGTATCTATAACATGCAGAGGCAAAGCTTTCTCTCTTCAAATTCAGGCTGCCTAAAGGGTTATAGCAAACTAGAAGTAGTTTGTTCAGCAAATGACCTGTGTGGGGTGGCACTGGGGATAGCCATAGGCACTTGCAGTCACCATAAGCTACATGACTGTACCACACCATGAATCTGCACAGTGAGAGTCTTCTCACACTATAAGAAACCACATGAAAATGAACTGGACATTGTTCTTTCACCTGCATGCTTAGGCACATAATCATGAAACTTCTGCTAGGAGGAGCAGGACCATTACTTACTCACCACCGGGAGAGAGACAGGAGAGTAAAGCTAGATTTGCAGCTCTCAGCTTGTCTTCCAGGTGCTGACAGTTAGAAACAAGCTAATTCCTGCATTTTATACTTAGAGTGACAGAGCCAAACTCATGCCTGGGAAAAAGAGCTGCACATTTACAGCAGCTGGTGGAGCTGTGTGTACTTGTGATGGTGGCTAATTTGGCCTTCTACTAAGCACATTGTGGGCAAGAATGATGTGCTCAGTAAATGAGTCGGACATTCAAGTCACTGAGGGCTGAATGTAGCCCCTTTCACAGAAGCTCAGCACAATTGTTAGATTCGTCAATTCTGGACAAGCAGCAGAGCCCTGCAGGCAGCACCTTCCCTGGATGGGAAGCATGGTCAGGATGGTCCTTCTGCTCCAGCCTAGGCTCTGGGCAACAGCTAATGGGAGACAGGGGAGTAATGGCAATGCAAGTAGGTCCCACTCCTGCTTGCATCATCCCTCAGATCCCTATCTGTGTTCTTTAAGAAACAGAAGGAAAGGAATATGCCTGAAGACACAGCATGATAAGGAACCTTTCATGGAAAAGCCCTGCATAATTGAACCCAAACCCATCTGTCTTCTGCTAACCCTAACCTGCTGTCTTGAATACTCTTTTCAATCCTGAGTCAGGCTTAAAGTCCCATGACAACATTATTGTTATTCTCTGCTCAATTCACCAGGCTTCTGGAGTAACTCCTGTAAAAACCCACTGATTTTAGCACTGATCAGAAAACATGTTCATTGCCCCTCTATGAAGTAGGGCATGTCTTCACCTCCCTCTTTGCAAAATTTACCAATGCTCCCTCAAAATTGCTGACAAAACTCACAATTGAATTACATGAGGCAGGAATTTTCTGTACAGGGGTAAAGCAGGGACAGGGGAGAATCTCTTCCCTTATATCTTTCAAACCCATCTGGGCCGAAAGCACTACATGTAAAAGCTGTGTATTTTGGGGTTCTGCTTTGAGGAATGAAGCTCTCAATAAAAATCTGGCTCAGCTTCTCCCTCATTCCAAGCAGGCATAAAAACAGAGCTGAGGGTTTGTTTTATTTTCATCTCCTGTTTTGTAATAAAAGGCAACAGTGACCTCACCCTTCCTCTGCATGTTAGCCCATTGAAGGAACGGCAAAGCTAAGCCACCCTGGGCTTTCATTTCAGCTTTTGCTTCATTTTATCACAGGACTTTACACAGCTCCTGTCAGAACATAGCCATACACATCTGCAAAAAACCACATTTCATTTTTGGTCCCAGTGTTAAAATGTACGTTTAGCTTGCCAGTTGAAGATAACCCATGGCTGAGCCTGTGCTAATTACAGTAATGGCAATTACGAAGAGCAAAACACAAGCAGGGTAATGGGATGTGCTAAGACCAGCACCAGAGTGTGATCCAAAGGGAAGCTCCAGGCGATGCTCATCTGTGAGTGACAGGTGGCCAATCGAGATCTCCTTTGAAGTCAGGTCCACTCGAGGCTTTGCCTATAGCCTGGTCTTTTGTCCAGTGCAAGCAGGTTTGCTGCACAAGAGGCAACAGTGTGATGCCTTCTTAAGGCTTGTGTAAGCTTGCAGGGAAATAAACCAGCACAAGGTTGAGCAGTTTTTCAAATAAAAAGAATAGCCTTCAAACATCAGGTTTCCTCAGAAAACCAGAGAGGAAGGGCTTTGAATTATTACAAAAAAATAGCGTGAATTTCCAAAGGAAGTGCCCATCACTTCGCTAGCAGGGGAAGCACAAATGCCTGGCGAGCCACCGGACTCTGCCAAGCAGAGTGGGATGTCAGGGCTGTGTCCTCCCACCGAGCCCACCCACGACACACTGTGGTGAGATGAGCTGGCCGGGACGAGCCGGGGGGAGGACACGGCACAGGGATGTTCCCGGGGACAAAGGCTTCCAGCCGAAGAAGCGCTCCGTGCCCCTGATGAGCATCTCCTCCGGCAGGCAAGGCGGCTCCGGCGGCAGGCAGCCCACTGGCCGGGCTGGGGATGCAGCCCGCCCTGGCAGCCGCCGTGCTCGCCCCGGCTGTGATTCAGCCCTGTAGAAGTGGGTGTCAGCAGAGAGCCAGGCAAGCACAGGGTCTTACCTCATCCGAGAGTAGTAGCTAAAATAGGTCAAATGAATCACACCCTAAAAATGCCTGTTTCTCTCTGTTGGCTGTCAAGGGAAACGAGGGTGACTAGCTCAGCTGTAGACTCCTACACTGCACAGATCAAGGGCAGAATTCAGTTAAATTTAGGCATCTAAATGATGTGAGCCTGGTATGTAACTTCTTATTATGGCCAGTTGATGGCTGGTTGCTGCAGTCAGTGGAACTGAGAGAAGGGTACAGATCACCATGGAACTGTCATCCAGTGACTCTCTGGACAACCTGTGCCCTCACCTCCACTCACTGGATGGCTCTGTGTTGACTACAATCTGACACAAGTGAAGACACAGGTGTTTAGATGTTTATATAAGGTGTCTAAAGGCTGAAAATACCTCTGTTGTAACAGCAGAGATAAAAGTATTTACATGCTTTTTTTCAGTGTGTTATGGCACCAAAATCTGGGAATCACTACAGAAAAATCTGGACAGCCCAGAAGTGTAGGGGTGTGCAGGAGAAGGGGAAGGTGTCGCAAGCAGCTCTCTGCCAGGATGTGCTCGCAGCTCTAAAGCCTCATCACACTACGCTGCTCCTGTTCTGCCCATGGATCCCCCAAGCACAACACTGAGAGTGCTCTGGGGCAAGCTCAGCTCCTGAATGTCAGGTCGAGCTCCATGGGGCAATAAACCTTTAATGTGGTCTGACTTAAGCATCCTACCCCAAACAGTATGTCCAGGGACCACACTTGTAAGCTGTGGTATCAGCTGGCACCACAGGCTTAGATCACTGCTGATGTGCACCAAACAGGAATGCTGCTACAGTCCCTTCAGGGACCCTTCAGGCCACCCCTTGTATATTTTTGCTACAAGCATTGGAAGGAATTGCACAGCAGAGCTGATTCAGCTGTACAAAAACTGTTTTGCTATTACACACAGATTTATTTTTCAGCCATACCAGTCCTATATCAGGTTTACTCAGTGGCCACACAAACTCTTGGCTTGGACAAGGGATGTTCTTCTCAACAATAGCATCACCTTAAGGACATGTTGGGCTCCTGCCTCAACTCACTTGACCCTAAACATTCCTAAGCTTCCACTGCCTTTCTGAAAAGCAGGAGGCTACCGCCCACAAGCACCAAACTTCATTCAGAGCCTGATGTGAAGCACATCAAAAAGCAACAGGAACTTTCTCTTGGTACTGGTGGGCTTTAGCTACAGGCTGCATTTCTTCTAAGGTATTCCACAGTTATACATCTCCAGTTTTTGTGAGCATGTTGGGTTTGAAACAGTGTCTAGCCAGGACCTGAACTGCATTGCATTTGACAATTTAAACACACACACTTGCCCCAGAGCTACAGGGTTGTCAGAATGGGTTCAAGCAAAATTTCTGCAGTCTTAACATGCCAGTTGGTTTGCTCAGGCATTTTTTTAAAAATAAATGCTTCTAAAAGAAATGTGTTTGTATTAAAATGGGGGTGGGGAGGGGTGTGTGGGGACGGGAGTGTGGTTAAGGCACATGATTAGGATTACAGAAATAATGCTTTGCAACTTGTCACTTAAAATCTCTTTGCCTGCTTCCCAATGTGTGAAACTCAGTAATTAATTCTTGTCCACATTTATTAAGCATTCCTTAAACTCTGGATGAAAAGTCTCCTATGAGCATTAAACAGTATTACATCCAGCTACCCTGAGTAGCCACATTCTACAAGTTCTGCTCTCCAATTCAAATAGGCAAAAAAGTTAACATCACTTCATTAATGAGTCATTCAGAAGTTAATCGTGTTTTCTTTTAAACCAGATCTTGCATATTTTTTATTTCTGATTGACTCCAAAGAGCTGACACTGAGAACATACTTTGATTTGTCTATTCTCTACCATAGTATTGTTTTGTTTCCCCAGCCAAATTATGGAAGCTTTTTTTACAGGAGAATAAAAAAGCATATGAGTATTCCTTTTAGTCTCATGTAATTTTTTTGTGAGTGAGCTGAACATACATAGCAAAAGTTTTCCCTGCTAGACAATATTTTGCAGCAGTTTCACAGGCATATAGGCCATATAAATGAGACGGGCCATTAAGAGAACAGACTCCTTCTGGCACTTCACTCCAATGCTGCCACAGCCATGCCTGAAGCCAGTAGGTCCTTAAAGTGATTCTGTGATTGTGATCAAACTGGAGAAACTCATTCTTGCCTTTTTTTAACCAGTCCTACAGTTCAAGCTGATAACTGGTCACTCAGCTTCTTTACTCCTCACTTTCCCTACCCATAACCCATGCTAACACTTCCATACATATAGGTGGTTTCAGTAAGTTTTCACATGAGCCGCAAGAAAACTCAGAATTGCAAAGATGTAAGGAAAAAGTGGTTTGGATTTAGTTCACAGACCTCTGCTAAGAGTATGGAAGATGTAAAAATATATTTATGGATTAATTGTACACTGTACCTCTAGGATTAAATCCTCTAGGTATCAATCCAAAAGCTTCCATCTCAGGAACCTCATTTTCTTCATCGTTGGAGTAGTTTGGTGGGATGGCTCTTCTCCCATTCAAAGGAGGTTTATTCTCATTGGTGCTCGTTGTTTCAGACATCCTGTACTAAAAAAGTTGTAATAGCATGAAAGAAAGAGTGCAAGGAAAAAAACAAACATGAGTTAGCATGGCACGTGCAAGATGGGAGAAGCCAAAAAAGCAATGTGGGGTACCAGTGAGCTACACATTTTTAGACTTACATAAATAAAACCTGAGAGGCAGAAAACATCAGTCTAATGATAAGTACAGCTCTCTAAGGATTGGAAGGCATTTTGTGTTCATCAAAACACATGAATAAGAGAAGAAGGAGGGGGCGGGAGAAGGAGAGGGAAGTCTAACACAGAAGTATTTGCCTAGGAGAAGCAGGGCACTAAAAACATTAGGAAGTTTCAGGTAAAAGAACTGGAAAATCTTTCATTCTCTCATCCTCCATAAAAGCATTATTGAATCCAAAATAGCAAATTATATTTTCAGAAAGTGCATCACACACTACCTCTCCCTAATAAAAATGACATTATAAGTCATACTGCAATCAAGCCAAATATTACAGCCTACAACAGTCTGTGGATGATAAGTGGAGAATTGTATTTTTGTCCCTGTGCACACAAATACCCAATAACTACAGGGCTAACTCCTGCACCCAGACAATCCACTTTTGAGAAAAAGAGGGAGAGGGGGAACAGAGAGGGAGGTAAAAGGGAAAAAAGGAAAAGAAAAAAGCACTTATCCACTTATTTCTCTCCCATTGATGTCCTTAAGGGAAATCTTAGATGTAGGCTGATCAGAGACTTCTTTTTGAGCTACTCAAAACTGCTTTCACATCTATTTCAGTGTAAGTATGTAGCAGTGAAAAAGCCATGCAACCCTTCTAAGAAAATATTAATGACTGAGAAGAAAACTTCTACCCAAGGCCCCTGAAAACAGCAATTTAAAATGTAGCATTTATTTAATAGAAGTTAGCTCTAAAATGAAGTTATCAAGGATACCTTCTTTTCAGATAGTCTTTTCTTTTTTTCTTCTCCCTTGCAGAATTTCTGCAGTGCAATAGAAGCAGGGGGAAATTTGGGGGCTTTTAAGTAACCTCTCTGTATCCTCCTCCTTCCTGTTGCAGTAGGACAATACTAAAAAGATTGCCAAGCCCTCCCCACACCACCTCGGAGCATTTGTCACCACAGCTGGGATGTCTTTTCTTCCTCCTTCCCCTCCCTGCCTTTCTTACCCCAGCTCTGGTCACCAGGAACATTTCAGGATGTTTGTGCTAAGGAAACAACTTGGGCATTGAAGTTTCAATTCTTTTTGAGACAAAGTAGGAGTGCTTATGGCACAAGAGCATATGAGATGGGAGACTGGAGGGGATTTTCTGAGGCACATAGTGCTTACCATAGCCATGCTTACCATGTCTCCAGTCTTTTATGGTGTCTCTGCCTCAGGGAGCCTGTGATGCAGCTTCAGGTGGCAGTTTTCAAGAATCCTCTCAGGAAGACACAGTGATGGTTCCCCTGCTTGGTCCTCACAGCAGTCCTTTCAGAGGACTGCAGGACACATGAACATGGAGAGCTCATTGGCAGCCCAGCTTTTTCTAGAGACCTTGTGCTGTCCAGGACAATGAAGGTGTTTTGCACCACACAGCTATATTTGAGTCAAATGACCTTCAGCTCTTGCCCATGATAAAATGTGCATCACCTGACAGGTCTGGGGCTGCATCTTATGGGAGCTTTTTAGCTTCATGTCAGCTTTCTTCAGTTTCATCAAGCTCTAAGATAACTGGAGGCTGTGTGACACCTCCCCTGTCCGACATAACTCCACAGACCAATGGAGCTACATGAAGAAAAAGCAACAGACAGGGAAGAATTCAGGCCTATGATCTGTCAGCTGCTGCTGTTTGGCAGCAAAGGTAGAAATCACCTACTGGGAACATGCATGGGCAGTGGAGAGCTTCTCTCATACACACGACACTCACCAAGGGCATGCACTTGCCTCTGCTGCAAAGCAGATGAAGGAACAAGGAGACACAGTGAAAACAACTCTACTGCCTTTCAGGCAGCTATGACTTCCAGCCCCAGAGCACCAGAGAAGCCTCAAACCCCCACTGGCTAAACACCACTGAAATCAAGGCAGAGGACAGAAAATAAGAGAATTGGGTCACATATCTGTAATGGGAAGCAGCAAGTAAATCATCTGGAAGACAGGACCCCTGTCCTACCTCCCTTGGGATTTCCCAGCCACAGCAAGATAGTTCCACACAGGTCAGGACACATGCAGAGTGTGGGTCAGAGATCCGAGCTGGGCACCTGGGAGCATCACGGCTGCACCAGCACGGCATTGTAGGTGGGATAAGGAGCTTGCTAGGGCTGATTGCCAAGGCACGGCATGGGCCTGCAGCAGTTTTGGGGGCAGCCTGATTACCTTCACGAAAGTGTTGCACTATGCTTTCTCACAGCTGAAGGGTATGAGAAAATTGCTGAACACTGTTTGGCCTTTAGCACAGAAAGCCACCTGGCTGGACGACTCCCCTTCCCCTGTCCTGCTCTCCCAGGAGTGCAAACACCCTTAGGGGAGAGATTTGATCCCATCACATGCATCCTGAGCTGCAATTGCCATTGACTCACTTTTACACAGATGGGCCTTTTGGTAACCATCTGGAGGGCAAGCAGCACCCCTGGCACCCGGGAACACAATGAGCTTTCTGGGGGAGGAGGCTGGTTGCCAATTTTCTTTTCTTTTCTTTTCTTTTTTTCCCGCTTGCATACACGTTTCTATGTGGCGTGTTATGCTTTGTGCCTGTCTCTCCCACTTCTAGCCCGCACTTCAGTTCCCAAAATTGCAGCTGCTGTGACGATGTTACAAAAACTGATATAAATATTGCCTCGGTGCCATGCCTGCTGGAGGCCTGCAACACAAACAAGAAACACCGTCTCCCAAGGAAGTCATGTGCTTCCCCAAGTGGCTGCGGTGCTGTCAGAGCCAGGAGGAAATCTTTCCGTCAGAGCGGGGACTGGAGCGAGCGGATGCAGCAGAACAGATCCCGCTCCAGCCATCGCACCTCAACAGGCAGCGATTCCCGGTGTCTCCAGGCATGGCACCCTGGGGCTTTCGGCAGAAGCCACCGATCACACAGAAAGTGGGGAGGCCAAAATTTTTGGTGGCAGTGGCAGGAGTGGGACTTTGCATCCAGGGAGAGTAATGTTTTGCAGGCTGTGATTTATTTATTTCGTGGGGAGAGATGTAAATTCATGCTTATGACAGCTCCAGATGGCAGGTATTTTCTCATTACCTTGACTCCTTAGCATTTGCTATCCCTTGCCTATTAGACTGCACTGGCCTTAATTTAACTTCCGTGGTTCCAGACTACTGACGTCAGGGCTGATGCAGGAGGGGGTACGGAAAACACAAAACCCCTGATTTTCCTGTAGGGCGTTATGTTTAATGAATGATGCACTGGGATGACCGGTGGAAGAGTGCTCTCTTCTGCACAGCGCCCTGTGGGGAACTGTGAGCCCATATCCACTTCTCAGAGCAGCCTTCAGATGCTCGTGGCCTCTGCCAAAGACCTTTGCAGTCACAGGCACCCTTCCCACAGCAGTGGACTTTGGATGATGGACAGCCCTTCCTCCCTAACCCCACAGAAAAGCCCTTAAATGGCTGCAAAGCTTGCACCCTAAAGGGTTATCTAAAATGTACTTTCCTGTTGTTGCCAGAGCCAGGGCTGCTCTGTTCCAAGTCCTCCCATGCCAGATAGGAGTTTGTGGGGGAAAAACCACACAAGTCAGTAAAGCTTTACAGCCAGAGGAGAGGTGCCAAGATCTGTCACAGGCAAACTGATCAGCCAGGTGCTCACATAAATGGATTGCTGTGCTGTGTGCCAGTGACTAGATGGGAGGGATGTTTTGCCTGATGTAGCTACACCAAGCACTCCTCGGGAGCAGCTGAGCATTGTAAAGCTCTCCAATAGGGTGGTTTAATTTCTTCTTCTTTTTTTTAAAATATCACCCCTGTGCTATTTGCAGTGTAGATGGATGTACAGATCCACTGGAACACTATACTACAGCATGTGCACAAGAGTACCTGCCAAGAGTACCTGCACTGGAGTACATCATCCTCAAGAAACCAAACTCTCTCAGCTCTGGCCTTCTATACATAATAACACAACTGTGCCTCTTTCTTGTCGTCTCACGGCTTTACTTAGGAACCTGCATTCTTTCTTAGGCATCAAGTCTTGTCTTTCCCCTTCGTCTGCATCAGTACTTGTCTTCCATGAATTCATGTTCCTCTTCCTGTGATGCTCTGCCTCACCAAGGCAGAGTAGAGCAGATCCTAGAAGAAAAAAAACCAAACTAATAAAAATGTTATTTTTAAACAGAAGGGATTTTCAGAAGTCTTCATTTGGTGTTTTTGTTTGCATGTTTTGCTTTGTATTTTTTAAAAGAAACAAACCCAGTTAATATATCTGTGTGTAACAGCAGCTCTGGTTACCACACATAGAGGAATATATTTTAAGTTAATTCTGAAAACTCAAAAGGCCTAGCTCTGAAATATGGTATGTGTACACATGTCTGTATGTGTGAAAGAGGGGCAGAGGCAGAGAGAGATAAAATGGCAGCTCTTCAGATGGTAGAACATTTGGAAGGGGATATAGGGCCAGTGTTCAAAAGATATTGTTGCAAATGTTTCTGTTGCAGGAAGAAAAATACCATAGATGTATATATTCATACACATATTCTGCTAGGAAAACATGGCTTAGGAAGTTTTACTCTTCTCTGGAAAATTGTTGTTCCAAACTAAAAGCCTAAATTCAAGCTGTAGATCTTTACAAGCATCTACATCTGTGCTGGCCATCTTAGGCTCCCTTTATCCTCCGCACAGATCTAGTCTAGGCAGTGATTCATCTCCTCCTACAGCAGACATGTAAATAGGTCAGATGAATCATGGCCTAAAAGTGCCTGCTCCCTGTATTGACTGCAAAGGGAGCTTGGGGTGATGGGTTTTGCCATATGTGTCTACACTGCTGATGTCTGCAGTGAGAGGAGATATATCCTAGGCTAGGTGCAGGAGCAGAAAAACATTTTATTTTGGTTTTGAGGCCTGACTTTCAAGTGCTAAATTATCCTTTACTTTTATGGAAATACTGCTGCAAGTCACTATCAGTGATACATAGTGTATCGTTCAATACATTTTTTTTCTATCAGAATGTGTGTCTGCCAGTGCCAATTATATAAAATGTATTTCTTACAGTGTGTCAGATTACAGCAAAGTATACACAAGCTCAGGAAAACACATGCATCTTTTTATACTCATTTGTGAAGTCGTTCTGTTCCTTCAAACAGAAATATAACTATACCATGTAGTAACTGCAGCAAAATACAATAGTAGTAATAATAATAATAACAATAATAATAATAATAATAGCAATAACTACTGTTATGAACATAGAATCCATAGTTCCCACTCCTATTCTTACTCACATCTGAGTCCAAAGAATTCTGTTGGTTGGATACCCGGAACTCCCCTAGTTTCTTTTACAGGAAAAGTAAGACAGGAGCCAAGCAAGGGCAGAGCAGTCTGTCATAAGGGACAATATTCACAGTCTCCAGCTAAATTTACTGATTTATGTTTTGCTGGAGTTGAGGCCTTGAAAGATGAAAGAAATCTCTCAAAAGTGGGATTAGACAACCTCTGCTGGCCAGCTGACCCAGAAGCTGATAGGGACACAAAGACTGTGAGCCTCAGATATTTATTTATTCCCCAAAAGAAAAGGGCAGGACATCCATGCAAAGCCATAAGTACCTAGACACTTAAGCAGGAAAGATCATTTTAGATACAACAATTGTCTGAATAAATTTCACCACAAGTACCATGTGCCCGGGCCACGGAAACTTTCCTCTCTTAAGCAATTGTTTCAGTCTTCTTAAACCCACCTACCCAAATAAGCCCTTGGCTTGGGGATCAACCCTACTTGATCTGTCAGACAATGAGACTGAGAAAAGAGATTGTAACTTGAAGAGCAGGGCAACAGAGTATGATTCCCATTCATAAACTATTTCCATGTATCTACTCCCTTTTGAACAACCACTATTTCTAGAGACAGGCAGAACAAGCAATATATTCAGTCTGGTAAGACTTTGTCTATCATTCTTGCTATATACTCACAGAGCTGCTTGAATTTTTCCCAGTGCATCAGCCTCCTTTTAGTGAAGGCTGATTCCACAAGACTGAAACTTTTTCAAGAAAATGGCAATTGATTATGGTAATATAGTTAGTAAAAAGTTACCAAAACATGCTTAGCTTTAATTTGCAAATTTTATCGTATAAGTTTAAGCTTTTAAGTTAAGTCCTCAGGTAGTGGGATGTCCATGGCAGAGTAGGCTCGAAGGTAACATTAAAATTCCTGCAAAGACCCATCTTGACTTTAAGTAGCTGCAGCTTAGTTCTGCACCCTGGACGGCTGCTGCAGAGCTACAGCCCTCAGCTCCAGAGGGGCTCAGCTATAATGTACAGCATCAGATGAAAATGATGGTGCTGTGCCCAAACTACCCGGTTCCAGTATGGAATCATCTTGGATACATCAAAGGCAGAACCAACAAGTCATGGAAAACCCAAACCACCTACAAGCAAAAGTATAGGGTCCATGCCCTGCATTTCTGAAGCACTTGCAGCAAAGACCTGGTACAAGACACTTGAGATGTCCCTACCTAAATCCAATTGGACTGAGCAGGGTTTAGTAGATCCAGGTCTACTTTGTGCACAGATGAATATCCTTGTTTTACTGCTCAGCTGGGAAGCATGTTCACAGAACACTGCATCTCAGCCAAGAGGGTAGGCCAGACCACAGCTCTTTTCTGTATCCAGGGTAGGGGTGGTAATACACAACCCAGACAATCTCACATGCTTAGTTAACAGTTGCTTCTAATTAATTTAGTAGCATATGTGGACATGCAATATTTCAATCTTAATGTCTCAAATAGTTTCAACATTACTGACACACAATATTTCAAGTATGCTCAATTACAAGATTTCTGGAAATAAAGATCTCCTAAATTTCATTAAAAGATAAAACTTCCTGTTCCAGTTCAGAACAAGAACACATTTTAAAATGCCTGAATGTCTTGTAGAACAGCTTTTCTTCTTAATACAAACACAGATGTAATGTGTAGGCCCACACCCAACAAAACACTTAAGCACATCTTAACTTCAGTCGTGTAATTCCATCTTCAGGCATGTGCCTAAACCCTGTAATGGGTTCGACTCTACCAAACCAAGGCTGTACCATATCTGTTTGTACAGAAACACTTAAGCTGCCTGTTGATGTTGCATTTCTGCAACATGAAATTGTAGTTTAACATGTTTTTACTGCAATTTCTTCTTGACCACTTCAAAGATGGTTGCCAGAGAGGGTTGTTGATTCATTTTTCAGTCCCAAGACTGACCTTACCTCTTTGTAAATGAACTGAGTAATTGTTTATTCAAGGAAATGTGCAATCTTTTGAGAAATGGGTTCAAATGTGGATTGTAAAACATTGCAACTGGTTGATTGGTTAATGGCAGATGTTCTGGAGGGAAAAGGGAAATCAAAAGTATGAATCATTATCCAGATGAAGTTCAAAAGTAATTCGAAATTCATTTCATAATCACAGATGTGAGCCAAATAAACCCATCCAGCACAAGCTGCAAGCTTTGATTTTTGTCAAGTCTGCAAGTTCTTTCCTTTGCTATTCCCACTATAACCTTTGGAGTGTGGCTAAAAATTATTAATATATAAAATATTAGAATAAATTATTGCCTTCTAAATGCTCTATATACCTGTCTCTTTCTATAGCATTGTGCTGCATCCAGAAAATTACTGTCAATGTCCACAGTGGAATACAAATACTTTTCCCTTTGGGCTTGTAGTGAGCTCATGGTTGGAATAAAGATAAAAGTCAGAGCAGCTGAGAGTGCATCAGGAGTGCAACTCCAGCATGCACTCACAGCAAAGTCCCTGGACCCTCAGCTGAAGTGAAAGCCCTATGTTAGAAAGAACAGGCATGCACAGTATTTCTCTTACATGACTCTGTAAATCCTGTCAGGGTTGGACAAAGTCCAAGGTAAAAGCCACAGTCAACAGGTGTTCTCTTCATTTGAGGCTTATCCAGCCTCTCACACAATTCCACTTCTGGTGGTGTGCCCCTAATAGATCAATCCAAAACTCAACAGAGTTTCAGTTGTGCTGTTTAGACTGTGAGCCTGCAAGAAGGCATGTTAGGACAAAACTCTGCAGGCAGATATCTTGTCCTTGATCCCTTGGTTTATCTCTGGTCTCTGGCCCATCCCTCTCTCAGCTGTAATCTTCACAAACTTTTGCAGCTACCATAGGAATGGTATGATCTTTCACACTTTTCCTTTCAAGCCCTTTTCTTCAACAGCCTTACACTGCTTTTGATTTGCTTTCGAAGCATCAATGGTTGGTTGCTGGGGGAGCATTTACTCCTTCACGAAAAAGCAGCAGTGCGAGCAAAACAGGAATTGATCGATCTTTTATATTAAAGGATCATTTTTTCAGAAAGACCCTTGGAATTCTTAATCTTCAGACTAGTAAAATATTATAGGTTGTTCAACTCATACAAAAATAAAGGACTCACTGGCTGTAGTTGAGATGTCTTCACCCAAGTGCCTTGCTTGCCTGGGATTCCGCCTGAGAGTCTGTAGTTCCTGTAATTTGCACAAATAATTCCTTAGATATGTGCATAAAACATGGTATAAAAACCATGTTAGGAAACTATAAAAAATGGGGTAGTAAAGTTAGGTTGAAGAAGTAGCCAATAGATTTTCCAGTAAGAGCATAAACATATTATAAAGGCGCCCATTGGAATATATAGATGAAAACATGTTCTTTTAAAGTCCTGTCCCATAAAATGGTCCATGTCACCATCTTGCAGTTTGCTTTCCCACCTCTCCCTTGCAAGTCAGACAGATAATCAATGAACAGAAAGAATATTATAACACCATAAAAGTTTCTAGTCAAGGATAATGAGAATCAAGTAAATTGAACAAATGGTTTTAGAATGACCAATAAGCTGAATTTCTTTGCATTATACCACAATAATTTTTTACCAAGATCATGCATTCAATAAAAGCAAAGTTGATTTGTGGATCTCTAAAGGAAAAAGCTGGGACAAGTAAGCAAATTGGAATGTCCTACTTGTTCAACTTTTCGCATTGGTAGAGACAATGCCTTGCTAATACTTCTGTACCTGCTGACGGTCAGAGTTCAAATGTTGACTCTAGCTCACTGACACTACATTTTCTGTTGCATTCAATGGCAAATATAATTTTTTGTGCCTGTTAAAAACCATTAGGACCTCTTTAAGAAATGTGGCTCAAAGTAAAATACTTGATTTGTGGGTTTAAAAATTGTGAAAAACCTCGGAATGTGTAGAGAGGCCAGTGTTGCAGTGTTATCTAATGAACGTGACTCTAAGGTCATGTTTATTGTCACAAATACCACAGCTTTTCACAAAGGCAACAGAAATATACATGCAAAGCTTCAGCAATAACGCAAATTATGATCTAAACTCGCTGTAGCCATGATATCTTTTAGAATGAACTCCCATCAGAACTCCTCATCTTCACAGCTCTGAAGGCTGAAAACATTACACCTTTTCAAGACTTTAACTATACCAAAAAAAGAAGTGCCATCTCACTGTAATAATGCTGTCTTAATTATGTACAATACTTAGCACTAGTTTTACACTAGATGAGTCATAGTAGAAGCTTGTACTTTACTGTTTGACTAAATCCCACAGCTCTTAGAACACCCTGCAGTGAGTGCTTACCAGCTTGTGCTTAGCTCTATTCTCAGACCATGCCTGCTGGATCCTTTGGGGACGGTTGGTTTGGAGGGTGCTGCACTAGGATAAGCAGATACTGTGGTAGGAAATAAGGTCTCAGAATCAGCGAGAACACGAAAGAACAGAAAGCTGCTGAGGTGTCTATGCTTCTCCAGTCATGTCCATTTTAATTAACTGGGATTCTAAAAATTATAGGACTGGGTTTCTTTCCTTTATTTTTTAAAAGCAGTTTATCTTCTGAGTAGAAAGCTGTTCATTTTTTTGTCATCTTGTGCTGTTTGTTGTAACAATTAAGATGATGACAAACAGGTAACTGAAACACATTTGTGGAATCCCTCTTCACTTGTCTTACACCATCTATTTTATTACTGCTAAAAATAATCCCACAGAAGCAGATACCTCTCATTTTATGAAAAATGTTTACCACTGGGGTTTTCAACAAGATAGCAATGGTTCTTCATTTGTTCAGATTTTTTTCTCCTTCCTGTGTTTTGCGGCTTGATGAGATCAGTGAAATTTCCTGGTAAGCATAGGATCTTTTTCCAGGTCCTTCTAAATGCCTTGGAGAATACTGATTATTCTCAAGTTAGTTGTTACTTTAACAGTTCAGATTTCTTCATCTGAAACATATGAATAATATCCCTTTTGAGCCTTCATAAACGGCGCTGGAAACTTCAAAGGAAAAACACTCTTAGATAGAGTTAAAAAAAAAAAAAAAGTTAAAGAGCAGATGGACTTGTAGCCGAGTATACTGCAGTATATTCACAGTCAGCAGGAGAAGTAGATTCCAGCCTCTTTGAATCTCTGGTCTGGAAAACCATGTAGGAAATTTAATGTCAGACATGGTGAAAAATTGGTCCCATCTGCCTCCCCTCCTTCACCCAATAGATACACAGGGTGCCTAAGTACCTGGCTAGCACAGATCACTGGGATCACTGCTGAAGCCTCTCTATACAAATGACAAATATTCTACTCATTAAACATCCCTGTAGTGAATGCCCTGCTATGGCAACTTCCAAGAGACTCTTGATTAACAGAAAGAAGCAAAACACTTCATGTTGAAGTAACAGCTGGTTATGGTACTTACCGGTATCGGCTGACAGTGTAAAGACATACAGTTCACCAGGAAGCATTCACTCCTTCAAGTTATTTAAATAGAAGTTGGTTTTTTGCAAACTTGGTACCTCTAAACTGAAGTCTATTACATTTGGCAAGTAGAGTCCTTCTAGTAAACAGCCAGTGTTTTTTTCAAAGTCTTACCAAAAACTGTGCCCAGAAGAAACCCCAGGGAGTGGCGTGCATGCCACACTACTGTGTGATGCTAAAAGGATGCATCCAAGTGAAAGGACAAACAAATCTTTCTGCTAACGAAAATATTTTATTTCCATTTTAGCCAGGAATGCACTAAATAATGTATCATGCCTCAGCTACTTGAAAGGTCACCTTTTGGTCTATGAGCAGCTGCAGCAGCTGTGTTCCTTTGAGACCCTGCTCTGAGCACACAACAAAGCGTGAGAACTGACAACAAGCTTGGAGGATGCAAGTATGGGACAGGCTTCTGGAGGCCTCCCAGCAGCTACAGTTGAGAACCACTGCCAAATTTTCTTTCTCTCATTTTTTACTTCAATCTCAAATAACCTCCTTCCTTTCCCTCCCTTCCTAAGTAAATTAGTCATATGCAAAATACAAGAAAATTAACAGCCAACTCAGATTTTGACACCATGCAGAGACAAGTATCCATGGAGATTAGAGACCTCCTGTTCATCACTGATTTCCCATCACATCTGACAGGAAGGTACAACAAACAGAATAAACTAGTCCCCAGAAAGATAGTCCATGAGGCCAAGTTCAGCTTAGAGGCTACCGAGTCTGTTATTCCCAAACTATAATGCAGGCAAGACCTACAGCTACTTTAGATATATCCCTCATATTTGAGGCTTTCATCCATGAATCTGGATGAAAGAAATTTGTGGCTTCTCACATATTATCCCATTATCAGGAACTCAGATATGAGTTTTGCTTCAGCTTTCTAGACTGGCATATTGGTTATAACATACAGACCTTAGTTTGGAGACAGTGATTTTGAAGGGGAATGAAAATCAGTGTCCATTATCATCCACTTCAGAATCTGTCTTCCTAACAGGTAGATCAGGGTGGTACAGAGGAGACATCCTTATTAGACCTGACTTTGACAGGTGGGGGAAGCAACATGTTGTTCTGGTAGGATTTCTGCAGTTGTATTTTCCATAGATCTAATCCTGTTCCATTTCCTGAATGCCCAGATCAAAACTGCCTACAACCTGAATAATTTTTGTTTCAAATTAAATCAAACAAGCAAGGAGAGCAGTAACAACTTCAGAGAAAATAAACAAGAGTGTAACTCACCGTAAGGGCTATCTTGCATTGATGTATAGCATTCACTTCTAGACTAGAGACTGAAGGAAATTTTATTTTTAAAGGTCCCACACACAATAACAGAATCATTCCAGACATACATCTAGACATATATACCATTCATCATTTCCCAGGAAAACAAGCAAATCTTAAAAAGACATGGGGGAAAAAAAAAACCAACTACCAACAAACCAAAACAAACCAACTAATGCATAAGCACTGAATTAAGTATTAGAATTCCAGTGCTTATGTATTCCTTAGCCCATCCAGATGTGCTTTCATCTCCTCCACTCACTCACATACCAAGATTGCAGCAGGCCTCCATGAAAACCCTCTGAGCTCAGGGATTCCTTTCAATCTTGTGTGATGTAGGATTCATTAACACCAGCTGCCACTGTTAGCTTTTCCCCACTGCAACGCTCAGTGTCACCACCAAACAGCACAAAACCCATGCCATGTGGCAAGGCCCTATGGTTAAGGAGCCACAGTGGGCACAGCAAGGTGGCACCATCAAAGGGCAGAAAAGAGAGCCAGGGCCATAGGGCTCTTCAGATGAGTTGTCAAGAAAACTTTAAAGTTTGCACTTTAAAAACAAAAAAGGCAGAATACTGCAGAGAAACCAAATTCACCATAAACTTCTCTTTACAAGCTGGAGGTAACAGCAGGAGTTATCAGCCAGCCTGATCAAACTGAGACCTCCTGCTTGCTCATGTGACTCTCTGGCACTGGCACATGAGGGCCCTGAACAGTATGTCAGCAAGTCAGGAGAGCCCCATATGATTCTGACAGCAGCCATTGTCACCACTGTCCAGCCACGTTACCATCAGGTATGTGTAATCACCGGAATTCAGTCCGCATCTACAGACTACAGATACAATGTATACTGACCCATCATTCAGTAGGTACTTCAGATGGGGCCAGGATATCACTGGCATCACTTAGATCATCTGGCCAAGCCTAAGCTGCACTAGCCAACATAAAAAACGAGTAAAGAAAAGCAAGTCTGTTATCAGTATGTTTAAATTTGTTCAGCAGGAGCACACACCTCCTTTGCAAAACATCTGTGAATCTGGAAAGTAGCAAAGGCTAAAGACACAGACCAGTCAAGCACCATTTATTTAAAATGTGTGATCCCAAAAATAACTGAGCATCCTTTCTAGCTAGAAATTCAAGCCAGAAAGCAATAGCAGCCCCCCGGACAGACAACAATCCAGGGTTTAACTCTGGACCTGCAAACAGCTAAACAAGTGGTCATACTAATAGCAAGAGAATGGGAACACACAGCCTTTGCACTCTACACCTTTTCTTCCAGTGCTCAAAAGCCATGTGCTTTGGGCTTCCACGAGATGATTTTAGAGGCTTTAGTGCCATATGAATTCACCAAAAAGCTTGACATAATTTCAACTATTCTAAGTCACATCCTTGGACTGCCTCTAAAAAAGCCATCCCATCTTCACTGAGAGTGTGGGGAGCCTGGTAAGAGGAGGTTTCCAGTGCAGATTCCTGCATAATGTGCTTCAAGTCAAGCCATGATGATATTGCTCCTGCCCCTCACCCTTCCACCCCTGTTCTTCCCCCCTTGGCTAACGAGATGTTTTACTTTGGCAGAGCAAACGATGTCAAATAAGTACAAACAGCTACGAGACTGGAGTAAGAGTGCATCTGTGTGAGCAAAGCAGCCCTTTCTCAGCTTCACACCAAGTGAGCATCAATGTTCTCCATCCCATCTCCAAGGATGGAGCACACCACAGGCAGGAGAGCCCAGCCCAGCAGCTGGACCAGAGTGCTCCACTGTTGCAGTGAGCACTACCCTTCATATGGTATCTGCTGGCCAATTAAGGTACAA